GGGAATGGTGCTTGAGATTGGGGTGAAGGAGAGTTGGGGAATGGTGCGGGAGATTGGGGGTGAGGAGTTGGGGAATGGTGAGGAAGACTGGGGGTGACTTGGGGAATGGTGGAGGAGATTGCGGTGTGGGAATCCTCCGGTGTGATGGGGAATTCCCGGGAAGCGGTGTGGGATTTCTCCGGTGTGATGGGGAATTCCCGGGAAGCGGCGTGGGAATCCTCCGGTGTGATGGGGAATTCCCGGGAAGCGGCGTGGGAATCCTCTGGTGCGATTGGTGATTCCCGGGAAGCGGCGTGGGATTTCTCCGGTGTGATGGGGGGATTCCCGGGAAGCGGCGTGGGATTCCTGCGGTGTGATGATGGGGGATTCCCGGGAAGCGGCGTGGGATTCCTCCGGTGTGATGGGGAATTCCCGGGAAGCGGCGTGGGATTCCTCCGGTGTGATGGGGGATTCCCGGGAAGCGGTGTTGGAATCCTCCGGTGTGAAGGGGAATTCCCGGGGAAGCGGCGTGGGATTCCTCCGGTGTGATGGGGGATTCCCGGGAAGCGGCGTGGGATTCCTCCGGTGTGATGGGGGATTCCCGGGAAGCGGCGTGGGATTCCTCCGGTGTGATGGGGGATTCCCGGGAAGCGGCGTGGGATTCCTCCGGTGTGATGGGGGATTCCCGGGAAGCGGCGTGGGATTCCTCCGGTGTGATGGGGGATTCCCGGGAAGCGGCGTGGGATTCCTCCGGTGTGATGGGGGATTCCCGGGAAGCGGCGTGGGATTCCTCCGGTGTGATGGGGAATTCCCAGGAAGCGGCGTGGGATTCCTCCGGTGTGATGGGGGGAATTCCCGGGAAGCGGCGTGGGATTCCTCCGGTGTGATGGGGAATTCCCGGGAAGGGGCGTGGGAATCCTCCGATGTGATGGGGGATTCCCGGGAAGCGCGGCGTGGGAATCCTCCGGTGTGATGGGGGATTCCCGGGAAGCGGCGTGGGATTCCTGCGGTTTGTGTGATGGGGGATTCCCGGGAAGCGGCGTGGGATTCCTCCGGTGTGATGGGGGATTCCCGGGAAGCGGCGTGGGATTCCTCCGGTGTGATGGGGGATTCCCGGGAAGCGGGACGGTGGGATTTGAAGTGGAGGATGGGATGACGGAGGAGCCAGTAGGTGTCAGGTGATGGTGGAGGAGGACTGAAGGGATTTCTGTGAGGGGAGGAGGAAGGAGAAGAGAAGACAGAACAGGCGGGAGAGGAGGATGGGATGACACAGGACTGAGCACAGCTCTGCAGACATGCTGCCTTCTTCTATCACTCATACAGCCTGCCAGGACCCTCATATTGGGACCCCTTTGTGCTGAGGACCCCCATGTGCTGAGGACCCCATGTGTGCACCCCCAGGACATGAAACCAACCCATCACCCCAACATCTGAACTCCCTGACCTGAACCAGATCACCATGAGACTGCTGACTGTCCTCAGCTGCTGGATATCCATCCTTCCAGGTAAGTGCAGACCCCTGGAGACCCCCATACCTCCACCTTATCACAGGAGACCCCCATACCTCCAGCTTATCACAAGAGACCCCCATACCTCCACCTGATCACGAGACCCCCAAACCCCTCCACCTGATCACAGGAGACCCCCATACCCCCCACCTGATCACAGGAGACCCCCATACCTCTCCACCTGATCACAGGAGACCTCCATACCTCTCCACCTGATCACAGGAGACCCCCCCATACCCCCACCTGATCACAAGAGACCCCCATACCTCTCCACCTGATCACAGGAGACCCCCATACCCCCCACCTGATCACAGGAGACCCCCATACTTCTCCACCTGATCACAGGAGACCCCCCCATACCCCCCACCTGATAACAAGAGACCCCCATACCTCTCCACCTGATCACAGGAGACCCCCATACCTCTCCACCTGATCACAGGAGACCCCCATACCTCTCCACCTGATCACAGGAGACCTACATACCTCTCCACCTGATCACAGGAGACCCCCATACCTCTCCACCTGATCACAGGAGACCTCCATACCTCTCCACCTGATCACAGGAGACCCCCATACCTCTCCACCTGATCACAGGAGACCCCCATACCTCTCCACCTGATCACAGGAGACCTCCATACCTCTCCACCTGATCACAGGAGACCCCATACCTCTCCACCTGATCACAGGAGACCTCCATACCTCTCCACCTGATCACAGGAGACCTCCATACCTCTCCACCTGATCACAGGAGACCTCCATACCTCTCCACCTGATCACAGGAGACCCCCATATCCCTCACTTTTTCTGTAACCCATAAATGTACCCCCAGGCTTTCCCATTGCTGTGTATTAGCTCTTCCCCACAATTCTCTCATCCACAAAGTATCGTTTATCTTTACGTTTACCTTTGCAAATTCCAATTTTTCTGTTAAGTGCAAAATGTGAATCAGTGAATGATGAGGTCCCCACATTTCATGGCCAGGTCCCCACATTTCATGGCCAGGTCCCCACATTTCATGGCCAGGTCCCCACATTTCATGGTCAGGTCCCCACATTTCATGGTCAGGTCCCCACATTTCATGGTCAGGTCCCCACATTTTATAGTCAGGTCTTCACATTTCATGGTCAGGTCCCCACATTTCATGGCCAGGTCCCCACATTTCATGGTCAGGTCCCCACATTTCATGGCCAGGTCCCCACATTTCATGGCCAGGTCTTCACATTTCATGGTCAGGTCCCACATTTCATGGTCAGGTCTTCACATTTCATGGTCAGGTCCCCACATTTTATAGTCACATTTCATGGTTCTTCCCCACATTTCATGGTCAGGTCCCCACATTTCATGGCCAGGTCCCCACATTTTATGGTCAGGTCTTCACATTTCATGGTCAGGTCCCCACATTTCATGGTCAGGTCTTCACATTTCATGGTCAGGTCCCCACATTTCATGTTCTTCAGGTCCCCACATTTTCATGGTTCAGTCAGGTCTTTCACATTTCATGGTCAGGTCCCCACATTTCATGGTCAGGTCTTCCCACATTTTCATAGTCAGGTCTTCACATTTCATGGTCAGGTCCCCACATTTCATGGTCAGGTCTTCACATTTCATGGTCAGGTCCCCACATTTCATGGTCAGGTCCCCATGGTCATTTTCATGGTCAGGTCTTCACATTACATGGTCAGGTCTCCACATTTCATGGTCAGGTCCCCACATTACATGGTCAGGTCTCCACATTTCATGGTCAGGTCTTCACATTTCATGGTCAGGTCTTTCACATTATTTCATGGTCAGGTCCCCACATTTCATGGTCAGGTCTTCACATTTTCATGGTCAGGTCTCCACATTTTCATGGTCAGGTCTTCACATTTCATAGGTCAGGTCCCCATGGTCATTTCATGGTCAGGTCTTCACATTTCATAGGTCAGGTCCCCACATTTCATGGTCAGGTCTTCACATTTCATGGTCAGGTCCCCACATTTCATGGTCAGGTCTCCACATTTCATGGTCAGGTCCCCACATTTCATGGTCAGGTCCCCACATTTCATGGTCAGGTCTTCACATTTCATGGTCAGGTCCCCACATTTCATAGTCAGGTCTTCCCCACATTTCATGGTCAGGTCCCCACATTTCATGGTCAGGTCCCCACATTTCATAGTCAGGTCCCCACATTTCATGGTCAGGTCTCCCCATTTCATGGTCAGGTCCCCACATTTCATGGTCAGGTCTCCATTTCATGGTCAGGTCTCCACATTTCATGGTCAGGTCTCCCCATTTCATGGTCAGGTCTCCCATTTTCATGGTCAGGTCTTCACATTTCATGGTCAGGTCTCCACATCATGGTCAGGTCTCCCCATTTCATGGTCAGTCTCCACATTTCATCAGATTTCATCAGACACCTCTGGATCTTCTATTTCTGTGACTCTTGTTTTCCCTCAGTGGTGGGGGGGGGTATTCTCCACGGTTGGAGCGCTCGGTCTCGGCATCGTCTCATAATATATTGTATTACTAATGAAGCCGGGAGTCTGACTACTTCCAACATGTTCACGTTTCCTTTGTCGCCCGATCGCCCCGCTCTGCTGAGTGTTCAATATTCCTCAGCCCAGAGCAATCACTATCACATAATGAGAAACCCTGCAGATCTGAACTCCTCCCACAACCCAAACTTTCCCTACTAGATCTTATCATGGACTGTGCCTGGAAGCCCTGGAGTCCTGAATGTTCCTCCAACCCCAACCCTGTGCGTGCATCCTATTCCGAGAGGAAGTGTTTCCTCCAACCAAACAAGCTGCACTACTGAATGTGACAGGGACATTAGAGTGTCAGCTCCTCTGGTACACAGACTGATGGGACTGTGGGGGAGGGGACATTAGAGTGTCAGCTCCTCTGGTACAGAGGACTTGATGGACAGTGGGGTTTGAGGGGACTGAGAGTGTCAGCTCCTCTGGTACTGATGGGGGAGGGGGGATTGGGGACATTAGAGTGTGAGTGGTCAGCTGTGGACTGCCTCTGGTACAGAGACTGTGGGGTACGTAGGGGATGGGTACCTCTGCTACAGAGACTGATGTGGGGGGAGGGGACATTAGAGTGTAAGCTCCTCTGGTACAGAGACTGATGTGACATGCGGGGTGAGGGGACATTAGAGTGTAAGCTCCTCTGGTACAGAGACTGATTAGGACAGTGGGGGAGGGACATTGCGAGTTAGAGTTCAGACTGATGGAACTGCGGGTTGAGGCGGACATTATGCAAGTGCTCCTCTGGTACAGAGACTGATACAGGACTGTGGGGGAGGGGACATTAGAGTGTAAATTTTTTGTTTATTAAAATCTTGCAAACAAAAAACATCATAAAAATCCTATTTCCATAAATACAGAATAAAATATATATAATTAAACAAAACCAGCTACTTCAGCAAAATAACAAATCCTGACGTCACCTGAACACCCCCCTCAGGGTAAGAAACGATTAAACATTGATCCCACACATTGATCCCACGCATTGATCCCACAAACTGATCCCATACATTGATCCCACACACTGATCCCACACATTGATCCCACACATGATCCACACATTGATCCCACACATTGATCCCACACATTGATCCCACACATTGATCCCATACATTGATCCCACACATTGATCCACACATTGATCCCACACATTGATCCCACACACTGATCCCACACTGATCCCATACACTGATCCCACACATGATCCCATATACATGATCCCATACATTGATCCCACATTCACACACATTCATCCCACACATTCATCCCACACACTGATCCCACACACTGATCCCACACACTGACACACACTGATCCCACACATTGATCCCACACATTGATCCCATACATTGATCCCACACACCCAGCTCATGATCCCACACATTGATCCCACACATTGATCCCATACATTGATCCCACACATTGATCACTGATCCCACATGACATTGATCCACACATTGATCCCACACATTGATCCCACACATTGATCCCATACATGATCCCACACACTTGATCCCACACACTGATCCCACACATTGATCCCATCACATTGATCCCACACACTGATCCCACACATGATCCCACACACTGATCCCACACATTGATCCCACACATTGATCCCACACACTGATTCCCACACGCATTGATCCCACACACTTGATCCACACATTGATCCCACACATGATCCCACACACTGATCCCACACATTGATCCCATACATGATCCCCACACACTGATCCCATACATTGATCCCACACATTGATCCCACACATTGATCCCACGCATTGATCCACGCACTGATCCCACGCACTGATCCCACACATTGATCCCACGCACTGATCCCATACATTCATCCCACACACTGATCCCACACACTGATCCCATACATTGATCCCATACTTCATCCCATACACTGATCCCCACACATTGATCCCATACATTGATCCCACGCACTGATCCCACGCACTGATCCCACATACACTGATCCCAACACTGATCCCACACATTGATCCCACACATTGATCCCATGCATGCAGCCTTTCTTCAAAAATCTGATGTTACAAAAATTCTAGGGGACGTGAAAGGACAGAAAGAGAAGCCACGCCCCCAGAGACTGACAGACAGGAGCTACGGGGACCTGACATTCCTCCACGCCTTTGTCCAGGCTCCCGGCCGCCACATGTCCTTCCCAAGACCCCGAATGTTGTTCACCACCACCTCTGCAGGAGGAAACCTGACACCGTGCATTCCACGTGTAGTAATGGAGGAGTACTAAGCTAACTAGAAAAAGTGTCTCAAAATCAAAGTCCCGGTGAGTCTGAAAGGCTCCGTAAGACCACTCCGCATAACTCAAGTGGGAAAGGAAAGGGATCCCCAGAGCCCCACCCACCCGCTTGTAGACTTCTATATTGAAGGGGCACTGAAGAGAAATGGTCCATCGTCTCCTCCACTCCACCGCACTCCACTCTTGGACAACCACGGTTCTCCGCAGAGCGATGCTTCAGGTTGCCCTTCACATAGAGTCTGCCATGGAACGAGAGCCAGGCCAAATCCCGAAACTTTAAAGAGATTCTCTCCAGATTCATCAAACGCAGACCCTCCCTCATAACCGGGCCTGGGCAATCCGTCCCTCATAACCGGGCCTGGGCAATCCCTCCCTCATAACCGGGCCTGGGCAATCCCCTCCCCATAACCGGGCCTGGGCAATCCCTCCCCCATAAACCGGGCCTGGGCAATCCCTCCCCCATAACCGGGCCTGGGCAATCCGTCCCTCATAACCGGGCCTGGGCAATCCGTCCCTCATAACCGGGCCTGGGCAATCCGTCCCTCATAACCGGGCCTGGGGCAATCCCTCCCTCATAGCCGGGCCTGGGCAATCCCTCCCCCACAACCGGGCCTGGGCAATCCCTCCCTCATAACCGAGCCTGAGCAATCCCTCCCCCACAACCGAGCCTGGGCAATCCCTCCCTCACAACCGGGCCTGAGCAAATCCCTCCCCCCACAACCGGGCCTGGGCAATCCCTCCCTCACAACCGGGCCTGGACAATCCCTCCCCCACAACCGGGCCTGGGCAATCCGTCCCTCATAACCGAGCCTGAGCAATCCCTCCCCACAACCGAGCCTGGGCAATCCCTCCCTCACAACCGGGCCTGAGCAATCCCTCCCCCACAACCGGGCCTGGGCAATCCCTCCCTCATAACCGGGCCTGGCAATCCCTCCCCCCACCTCAAACGGGCCTGGGCAATCCCTCCCTCATAACCGGGCCTGGGCAATCCCTCCCTCATAGCCGGGCTGGACAATCCCTCCCCCACAACCGGCCTGGGCAATCCCTCCCCCACAACCGGCCTGGGCAATCCCTCCCTCATAACCGGGCCTGGACAATCCCTCCCCCACAACCGGGCAATCCCTCCCTCATAACCGGGCCTGGGCAATCCCTCCCCACAACCGGGCAATCCCTCCCTCATAACCGGGCCTGGGCAATCCCTCCCTCATAACCGGGCCTGGGCAATCCCTCCCTCATAACCGGGCCTTGGGCAATCCTTCCCTCATAAACCGGGCCTGGGCAATCCCTCCCTCATAAATCGGGCCTGGGCAAATCCCTCCCTCATAACCGGGCCTGGGCAATCCCTCCCTCATAACCGGGCCCTGGGCAATCCCTCAAGGCCAATGGCTCGCTGAAGGCAGATTCAACAACCCTCCCTCCAGGGCCTTCCTAGGAAGAGACTTAATTTCCTCCGCCGTCACTCGCCATTGCCGAAGCATTTTCAGACACGGGGCAAACATAAGCCGGGAGCTTACCATGTTGGACCCTCAGACTTCTCACTGGCCCACCATTCTCCCTCCGTAGAAAAGGCCTAAACCAGGACTGAAAAATACCAACCCCCCAGGCGGTTCCCGCTGCCAGCATGCTACCAAAATTATGTTTCAAAAACATCAGAGAAAAGAAAACCACGGGGCATCACCATACCCCCCACCATCTGCCTGGGAAGGTAGGTTACAGACTCTTAATGAGGCAGTTTGTGCCCCCATAACAGCTGGAAGACACAACTGTAGATCCTCGCATAGAGAGACACTGGAACACAGACAAAGCTGACATACAGAAATACCGGATCAGGGAAGTTCTAATCAGGTCAATCCTTTCCTGTAAGAGAGTTTCCAATCCTTCCAGCTGGCCACCTTGGCATCGGCATCTTGTAGCCTGCTTACCCAATTTGCAAGGCCGTAATCACCGGGACCAAATCTGATGCCTAAAACTTTAATTTCCTGCTGGGGCTCTGGGAAGGCGTCCGGAAGGGTAAAGCCTTCGCCTTCCTCTCCCATCCAGAAAACCTCACTCTTATCCTGATTGATCTTTGAGCCAGATGCCTCAGCATACTGTTCCATCACCGAGACCACCTCCTCCGCCTCCTGCCTCAGCATACTGTTCCATCACCGAGACCACCTCCTCCACTCCACCTCCTGCCCTCAGCATACTGTTCCATCACCGAGACCACCTCCCTGCCTCAGCGTACTGTTCCATCACCGAGACCCACCTCCTCCGCCTCCTGCCTCAGCATACTGTTCCATCACCGAGACCACCTCCTCCGCCTCCTACCTCAGCATACTGTTCCATCACCGAGACCACCCATCCTCCCTGCTCAGCGTACTGTTCCATCACCGAGACCCTCCTCCGCCTCGCTGCCTCAGCATACTGTTCCATCACCGAGACCCCTCCTCCGCCTCCTGCCTCAGCGTACTGCTCCATCACCGAGACCACCTCCTCCGCCTCCTGCCTCAGCGTACTGTTCCATCACCGAGACCACCTCCTCCGCCTCCTGCCTCAGCGTACTGTTCCATCACCGAGAGACCACCCCTCCGCATACTGTTCCATCACCGAGACCACCTCCTCCACCTCCTGCCTCAGCATACTGTTCCATCACTGAGACCACCTCCTCCGCCTCCTGCCTCAGAATACTGTTCCATCACTGAGACCACCTCCTCCGCCTCCTGCCTCAGCATACTGTTCCATCACCGAGACACCTCCTCCACCTCAATGCTTCAGCATACTGTTCCATCACCGAGACCACCTCCTCCATCTCCTGCCTCAGCATACTGTTCCATCACTGAGACCACCTCCTCACCTCCTGCCTCAGCATACTGTTCCCATCACCGAGACCACCTCCTCCGCCTCCTGCCTCAGCGTACTGCTCCATCACCAAGACCACCTCCTCCGCCCCTGCCTCAGCATACTGTTCCATCACTGAGACCACATCCTCCGCCTTGCCTCAGCATCTGTTCCATCACTGAGAACCACCTCCTCCACCTCCCTGCTCTGCATACTGTTCCATCACCGAGACCACCTCCTCCACCTCCTGCCTCAGCATACTGTTCCATCACCGAGACCACCTCCCTCCGCCTCCTGCCTCAGCATACTGTTCCATCACCGAGACCACTCTCTTCCGCCTCCTACCTCAGCATACTGTTCCATCACCGAGACCACCTCCTCCGCCTCCTGCCTCAGCGTACTGTTCCATCACAGAGACCACCTCCTCCGCCTCCTGCCTCAGCGTACTGTTCCATCACCGAGACCACCTCCTCTGCCTCCTGCCTCAGCATACTGTTCCATCACCGAGACCACCTCCTCTGCCTCCTGCCTCAGCATACTGTTCCATCACCGAGACCACCTCCTCCTGCCTCAGCATACTGTTCCATCACCGAGACCACCTCCTCCACCTCCTGCCTCAGCATACTGTTCCATCACCGAGTGACCACCTTCTCCGCCTCCTGCCTCAGCATACTGTTCCATCACCGAGACCCACCTTCTCCGCCTCCTGCCTCAGCATACTGTTCCATCACCAAGACCACCTCCTCCACCTCCTGCCTCAGCATTCTGTTCCATCACCGAGACCACCTCCTCCCGCCTCCTGTCTCAGCGTACTGTTCCATCACCGAGACCACCTCCTCCGTAGCATACTGTTCATCATCGAGACCACCTCTTCCGCCCTCCTGCCTCAGCACACTGTTCCATCACCGAGACCACCTCCTCCGCCTCCTGCCTCAGCGTACTGTTCCATCACCGAGACCCCCTCCTCCACCTCCTGCCTCAGCATACTGTTCCCATCACCGAGACCACCTCCTCCACCTCCTCCACCTCCTGCCTCAGCGTACTGTTCCATCACCGAGACCCCCTCCTCCGCCTCCTGCCTCAGCATACTGTTCCATCACCGAGACCACCTCCCCTCCACCTCCTGCCTTAGCATACTGTTTCCATCACCGAGACCACCTCCTCCGCCTCCTGCCTCAGCGTACTGTTCCATCACCGAGACCCCCTCCTCCGCCTCCTGCCTCAGCATACTGTTCCATCACCGAGACCACCTCCTCTGCCTCCTGCCTTAGCATACTGTTCCATCACCGAGACCACCTCCTCCGCCTCCTGCCTCAGCGTACTGTTCCATCACCCGAGACCACTCTCCTCCGCCTCCTGCCTCAGCATACCGTTCCATCACCGAGACCACCTCCTCCACCTCCTGCCTCAGCATACTGTTCCATCACCGAGACCACCTTCTCCGCCTCCTGCCTCAGCATACTGTTCCATCACCGAGACCACCTCCTCCACCTCCTGCCTTAGCATACTGTTCCATCACCGAGACCACCTCCTCCGCCTCCTGCCTCAGCGTACTGTTCCATCACCGAGACCACCTCCTCCGCCTCCTGCCTCAGCATACCGTTCCATCACCGAGACCACCTCCTCCGCCTCCTGCCTCAGCGTACTGTTCCATCACCGAGACCACCTCCTCTGCCTCCTGCCTCAGCATACTGTTCCATCACCGAGAGACCACCTCCTCCACCTCCTGCCTTAGCATACTGTTCCATCACCGAGACCACCTCCTCCGCCTCCTGCCTCAGCGTACTGTTCCATCACCGAGACCACCTCCTCCGCCTCCTGCCTCAGCATACCGTTCCATCACC